CTGCAGCGGAGGCCTACATTAGTGGCATGCTCTTCTGCCTGGGCATCTTCCTCTCCTTCTACGTGCTGACGCTGCTCATCGCCTGCTGGAAGAGCTGCAGGTGAGCGCCCGCGCGTCGCCCCACTGAGCCCGCTGCGGGCTGCTGCGACGGTGCCGGCGGCTCGGCTCCCTTGGCTGTGAAGCCAGGCCCTGGGCAGCTGCCCCCACCCCCAAGTCCTCGTTATTTCTGCTGCCTGGCAGCTGGAGTCCGTGGCCCTGCGCTGTGACACGGTGCACAGAGCTGCACGGGGCGATTGTCCACCAAGCTGGGAATCACCCTTCTGCCTCCACGAGCTCGGGCCTGACGGCAGCCAGTGACCAGAGCCTCCCCGATGGCTATCTGGGCACCGGGCTGGTTGGCATTAATACCATTAATACCCAGCCAGCACCATGCTCCCTCCCTCCGTGAGAGCCCGGTATGGCTGTCTCCACACGGGCCCTGTGAACAGGTCACTCTTGCTGGCATGGGACCTTCCTGGGCAGCCTCCATTGCAGGGCCAGCGGGGTCTGGGCTGCCAGAGCTGGGGCTGGGGAAGCTGGGAGATGCCCTAGCCCTGCTGGCTGAGGTCTCCTCTGTCTTGCAGACAGCAGCAGAAGAAAGGGCTCCTGGCTGCCCTGGGCTCGCCCAGCACCGACACCGGTAGGGGAACAGCTGGAGCTGCAGGCGCGACTCAGGGAGGGGAGCGTTGGGGATCCTTTGCCTTGTCGTCTGCCCTGGAGCTTTCCCTCTGCTCTCTGGACACGCAGGCCCCCTGGGCCCCGGTCTGCATTGGCGGGAATCCGCTCCCCCCGTGACACCTTCCCTGTGGTCGGGACCTTTCCCCCACGAGGGGCTCCAGCGCCGGCTCGCCGCTCAGCTGGCTCTGAGTTGGCCCCCGCTCTCCGGTGCAGAGCCCCAGTCCTGTGTGCATGCCTGCGGGATGGGCCGGACTGCCACGCCGGGGCCTGAGCTCCGTGGCCCTGCGGTTTGGGGACGCCAGCTGGGGAAGCGGCAGGGTCACTGACTGCCTGTGTCTGTCTGTCGGTCTGTCTGTCTGTCTCTGTCTCTGTGCCTGCGTCTCTCTTGGGGGAATTTCCCCTCCCAGCATCTTTACTGGGTAAGTCTGGAGCTCCAGGCTGCAAACTCCTCACAGACCATTGAACCCTTCCGGTGCAGAGGCACGTCTGGCCAGCGTGACCCTGCGCAGGTGGTGGTCCCGGGTAGGCAGGGCAGGACTAGGGGCCAGTCTGGGGCTATGCAGACTCCTCCTGCTTGGCTTTGCCCGGGTCCTGTCCCAGTGCTTGGCCCCATCCCTGCCCCTCTGGGGTCCCCCACAGGGCTGCAGCCTGCGCCAGCCTCACTCACTCAGAAACCCTCCGGCCCCTGCGCCCCGGGGTGCGTGTGCAGGCTGACAAAGCACGGGCTGTCAGCTGCTGACCTGGGGTGGTGCTCTGCCTTGCAGGCCATGCCCGTGCCACCCCCGACTCTCTCCTTGGGCGTCCCTATGATGGCTACGGCTACGGCTACGGCTCCTTCGGTGAGTGCTGGCTCTGAGCACCTGGGGCTGATCCACGGCAGGAGCGGGCCTGGGAGATCAGGTGGCTGCCTCGGGCTGTGAGGCTTCAGAGACACAGGTCGGGTCCGTCCCTGACCCTGCGCCCTGTGCCTCCTTCCTCCCTGTCCCTTAGACGGTGCCTGGGAGAGGCAGGGACTCCGGCTGCGACAGAGTCTTGTCCTTCTATCCCTGCCCTGCGGGCACCTGCTCCTTCCCACTGCTTGCCAGGAGCCCCATCCTGGCTGGGCCTTGACCCCCTATTCTGCCTGTCCTTCCAGAGAACGGCTCCACCCTGAGCACCGAGGGCGTCACGGACAGCATGGGCTCCACGGAGGTCTCCTACGCGTACGCAGGTGAGTTGCAGCCCGTGCCCCGCCGGGCTGGGGAGGGTCCAGCTCTGCCAGCCAACCCGAGCCCCTCTGATGGCGCTGGGCAGAGCTGCGCTTGGCCTGCCTGGAGCATCCTGTCCGTGTTCAGCAGCCCCGAGTGGGACCTGCCTGGCTTTGCTTAAAGGACTTGGCCCGGGTGTGTCTGCCCCAGGGACTCATCTGCATTCAGACCCACCCATCGCCCTAGTCTGACACCAGCCCCCTCCCTGCCCTCCGAGCCCTGCTGCCCTCTGCAAGGCGAAGCTGAGCCTGACCCCCGGGGAGCCACCGCCGTCCCGATCCCGTCCCGGTAACTCTCACTTTCCTTCGAAGGGCAGGACCCGTTCAAGCGACGCGTCTCCTCCAGCCAGACGAGGCACTTGGCCATTGCGATGGGTAGATGCTGACACTAAGCAGAGCAGGCTCTAGGGAGCCCCGATCGATCCCCTCTGCCACGCTGCCCGGCTTCACGGTGCCAGGCAGGCCCAGGCCCAGGCCCAGTGGTGCTCCCCGGCCCAGCTGGGTCCGGCCCCTTTTGGCAGCTCAGGCCTCTGGGAGCACAGGGAAGGGTAGGGACACCCCAGGGGCTCTCCCTCTGCCCCTCAGCACCTGCCTGGGTCTGAGCTGGTAGCGTGAAGCCTGCAGGACCCTGTCCTCACCCTGCGTTTTCTGAGGGGCCCAGGTTCCTGGTGCACGCTCACTGGGAGCAGGGAGCGTGGTGGCTCCTCGTGACGATTCACCCCGAGCCTGGCGCCAGGCGTGCGCCAGGCAGCACTCCCTGCATGGGGTTGGGGGCCGTGGCACTGCTCCCTTCAGCAGGCAGCTGCGTGTGCTCTTGGCTTTGGCCCTGGCACGCCATCGAGCGCCCCTCAGAAAGCGTGAGGCTCCCGCATGACACCCACCGAGCGCCCACGTCCCAGCTGGGACCTGCCAGGGGCAATGTCTCGCACCTGGACCAAAATGACCCCCAATCAGCAGGGAATGCACCGCTGGGGCTTTGATTGCCCTGGCATGCACGTTCAGCTCAGTGCACTGGCGATACTCAGCACGAGGGGCGAGAAGGACAGCGGGACCCCAGCGAGCTGCCCACGGTGCTGGGGGGATTCTCTTGCCCAGGGCAGAGCAGCCACCCCAGGTGCCCACGGGTCCCTTTGCACTGAGCTGTGCCCCCCCAAATGAGCAGGGGCATGTTCAGAGCTGTGATTGGCTCGATCCGATTGATTTGGGCTGTGCTGCGGGGGCTGCGGCGCCGTGGCCCCAGGTGACGCTGCTGCCCCTCTCACCGTGCAGAGCGGTTGCTGGACAATGTGGCCAGCCGGCCCCGCCTGGACTCGCTCAGCTCCGTGGAGGAGGACGACTACGACACGCTGGCCGACATTGACTCCGACAAGAACGTCATCCGCACCAAGGTCTGCGGGGCAGGGGGTGGGGTGGGGACGGTGGCCGTGGCTCTGGGGCAGTGCTTGGGAACAACGGGTGCCGGCCAGGCCAGGGCTTGGAGGTGTCCTGCCTGCGCACTAAGGCTGCTGGCAGATGGGCTCTGCCCTGGGTGCCTGCCTGACCTTGGGGTGCCCTGTCCTACCCACCCCTGCATTCTCTGTGCCGGCCCCGCTGACCCATCTCTCCCCCCAGAAATACCTGTCCGTGGCAGACCTGGCCCGAAAGGACAAGCGCGTTCTGCGGAAGAAGTACCAGATCTACTTCTGGTGAGCTGGGGAAGAGTGTAGAGGTGTAGGGGGCACCTCCTGTTTGCCCTCGCACTCAGAGCCCTGCCCAGCCCTGCAGTGGCAGGAGGTCGGCCTGATGCCCGCGTCGGCTGCCCCGGGTGCTGGCTCCTCTGCAGCACAGGCACTGTGCTGCATTGCCCCAGTCCATGGCAGTGCCGCGCTGCGTTGCCCCGGCCCCGTGTGCGGGGAGGGGACCGGGCTGGAGGTGCCACCAGCGCCCGCCCAGCTCACGGTGCCTCTTGCAGGAACATCGCCACCATCGCCGTGTTCTACGCCCTCCCGGTCATTCAGCTGGTCATCACCTACCAGACGGTACGTGCAGCCGTGGCCTCGCTCTGCACTGCCCAGCTGGCGCCTGGGGGATGCCCACGCCCCAAGTCCTGCCCTGCAGCCTCATCAGAGGACTGGGCTGGTGCTGGGCTCTGCCTGCCCAGTGCTGCCAAGGGCTGTGTGAATCTGCAGCCCAGGCTCCCCGCTCCACCGGCTGCCAATCCATGGACCCACGAGGGAACCGTCCCCTTCCACAATCCCTGGATGGAGCCCCCCAGGCCCTGGGCAGCCCGGGCTCTGCCCCCTGCTTATCTCCCCATGCTCTCTCTGCTCCCGGGTCCAGGTGGTGAACGTTACGGGCAATCAGGACATTTGCTACTACAACTTCCTCTGTGCCCACCCACTGGGCAACCTCAGGTAGGAGCCAGCACTGAGCCAGGGCAGTGCCCCGCAGGCATGGTCCCTGGCCACAGCACCCCCCAGGCTCCCTGCTGCAGCTGGACACAGCTGGCTGAGGGCTACAGGGCAGGATGGCCTCCTAGCAGCAGCTGGAGCTGCAGGACAGCAGAGGGGAGGGTGGCAGCGGGGCCTGGAGGCAGGGCAGTGCTGCCCCAGGGCAGCACTGGCAGGGGATGGGTGGGTCCAGCCCCAGCCACCCCTGGGCAGCTGTGATCTGGGGGTGGAGCAGTCTGTGCCGCGGGTGCTGGGGCACTGATGCAGATGGGCCCACTCCCTGCCAGCGCCTTCAACAACATCCTGAGCAACCTGGGCTACATCCTGCTGGGCCTGCTCTTCCTGCTCATTATCCTGCAGCGGGAGATCCACTACAACCGGGCGCTGATGCGCAGCGACACTAATGCCCTGGTGAGAGATGCCCCTGCGGCATTGGCAGGAGCAGACCCCAGGGCCTGGGATGGGGGCAGCCATGGGAGGGCTTGCCCGGGGTGCCGGCCAGTCTGGGTGCTGCGACCTAGGTTGGGGTTGGGGGTGGCTGAGCCCCTGAGCATGCCTAGCAGGGACCTGCTGGGCCCTGTCCATCTGTCTGTCTGCCTGAGCATGCCGTCCTTCCCTCGCTGCAGGAGTGTGGCATCCCGAAGCACTTTGGGCTCTTCTATGCCATGGGCACGGCGCTGATGATGGAGGGGCTGCTCAGCGCCTGCTACCACGTCTGCCCCAACTACACTAACTTCCAGTTCGGTGAGTGCCAGCCCTCTCCGAGCCGTGGTCCCACACCCCGCTGCCCAGCTCCCTCCGACCCAGGGCCGGCGGCGACTGGCTGCAGACAACACGCGGCCTCAGCACGTTGCTGCTGCGGCTCAGCCAACCCCTCCCGTTGCAGACACCTCCTTCATGTACATGATTGCGGGGCTCTGCATGCTGAAGCTGTACCAGAAGCGCCACCCTGACATCAATGCCAGCGCCTACAGTGCCTACGCCTGCCTGGCCATCGTCATCTTCTTCTCCGTCGTTGGGGGGGTGAGTGCTGGGCTCGTCTGTCCCCATGGGAGCCGGGGCCCTGCAAGCCCCTGCGAGCACGTGGCAGGCCCCTGGTCCCACTAGCAGCATCCGTGGGGGGTGGCAAGGTGCTGCCCGATGTCACTTAAGCCCCTGTGTGCTGCACCTTGGTCCTGTTGGCGTGGTGCAAAACCCATGGGCCCTGTAGCCAAGGGGCCAAGCTCTGCATAGTCCATGGGAGCCAGCAGGGCTCTGGGTGGGCTTTGGACTCCACACGGTCCCCTCCCAAGCACTGGACCTTGGGAAACCTGTGCCGGGGCTGACGGCTTTGCTAGGCCTGGGCACCAGGCTGTCCAGCTGTGCTCATCGCCCTCCCGCCGGCAGGTCTTTGGCAGAGGGAACATGGTGTTCTGGATCGTCTTCTCTGTCATCCACATCTTTGCCACCCTGCTGCTGAGCACGCAGCTCTACTACATGGGCCGCTGGAAGCTGGGTGAGGGCCCCGCTGGGGCTGGGGCTGGGGCTGGGGCTGGGGCTGGACGGGGAGGGAGGGTTGGCATCAGGATGGCCCAGATGTCCAGCTGGGTCCTGGTGACCTCCCAGTGTCCCCAGCTGTGCTCACCGGCAGCTCCAGCCACACATGTCACCGGCAGAGCCTTTAGCTGACCTCACGTGTGGCTGATGTGGCCCTGCCTGGCCCCTGGGACAGGGGTCTGGGTCCAGGTGCTGGGGTGTATTGCAGGGGAAGGGTTGGGAGCACTGCTGTCCCGGGCACCCTCCTTGGGGCATCAGCTCCACCTCCCTCCCCTCGCCCAGGGCACCATCTCTGCTTGCGCCCATGCTGGCTCTCTCTGCAGACTCGGGGATCCCACGCAGGATCGTGCACGTGTTGTACACGGATTGCATCCGGCAGTGCAGTGGGCCCATGTACGTGGTGAGTGCCGACACCCACCCCTTGCCTTGCTGCTCTCCACGGCGCACCCACGGAGCGGATGGGCCGTGCCCCCAGAGCCAGCCCTGAGCCTGCCTGCCCCATGGATCTGCTGTCTTGGGGCCTCGTGCTCTGAGCCGGGCAGCCGGGACGGATGGCTGCCCGAACCCACACCCCTGCCCCGCCAGTCCCTGCGCCCCAAGCTGACACGGTTCTGGGCTGGGTTTGTGCTGGAGCCGGGGCCTTAGCTCTGAGCTCCAGAGCTGGCATGTTGGCGCCTTCATTGCTGCTCCCTGCTTCATGTCTCGGGTGTGCCAGAGGCCCCCCCAGGGCTTGGGGCCATGGGAACCGTGTGCCCAAGCCCTGCCACAGGCCTTCCCATCTGTCCGTCCGTCTGTCCGCAGGATCGGATGGTGCTGCTGGTCATGGGCAATATCATCAACTGGTCCCTGTAAGTCCACGGTGCTGGGTGAAGGGAGGGAAGGGCCGGTGAGTCACCCTGGTGCAGAGCTCCCTGAGGGGGTGGGCACCAGGAAAACTGCTCCCCCAGGCCAGAGCCGCGTGCTCCTCTGGTGCACGCCCGGGCCCAGGCTGGTCTCCCAAGCTACGGCGGTGGCTGCAGCAGGGGTCATGGGGGCAGGGATGGTGCTGCCCCCCAGGTGGGCGCTGCCCAGGCCTGCCTGACCCCGTCTTGCCCGCAGCGCTGCCTACGGCCTCATCATCCACCCCAACGACTTTGCCTCCTACCTGCTGGCCATCGGCATCTGCAACCTGCTGCTCTACTTCGCCTTCTACATCATCATGAAGGTGCAGGCGGGACCCTGCCCTGCCCTGCCCCTGCCCCAGCACCCCGCAGCTGGGCTGTCCAGACCCACTGGAGCCCCCCGGTGCTGACGGCAGTTGCAGCCCAGGGTGGGCAACGGGATGATACTAGCCAAGTCCCAGGTGGCCTCTGTTGAGAGCCTGGACCAAGAGCCTGCTGCAGCCAGGGCCCCTGCACCCCTCTTGCCCTCCATCAATGCAGTCAGGGGAGAGGGAGCCCCCTGCCCCAGGGGCTGTGTGGCTGTGGCCTCCCCGGAGCCCCCGCTTCTTCCCAGTGCGTGCGGGGAAGCTCCCCGAGCCAGGCACCGTCCCGCTCAGTGCTATCTCCCCCCAGCTCCGGAGCGGGGAACGCATCAAGCTCATCCCGCTGCTCTGCATCGTCTGCACCTCCGTGGTCTGGGGCTTTGCCCTCTTCTTCTTCTTCCAGGGTCTCAGCACCTGGCAGGTAAGTGGGGCGCGGCAGGGCTCCCTGGGGCCAGGCCAGGGCGGCTCCCCAGGCTAGGAGGGCCGTCATGGTCGCGGTCCAGGGGTGACCAGCCGGCTCCGCCTGTGCCCCTGCAGCAGACCCCAGCTGAGTCGCGGGAGCACAACAGGGACTGCATCCTGCTGGACTTCTTCGACGACCACGACATCTGGCACTTCCTCTCCTCCATCGCCATGTTCGGCTCCTTCCTGGTGGGTGCCCCAGCACCGCACTGCCAGGGTGGGGTGGGACGGAGAGCGTCTCTGTTGCCTCGCTCACCCCAGGGGCGGGCTCTGACCAGGACGCTGGGGGTGCTGACCCCGCACCGGCCCTGCCTGACTGCTGCTGTCCCCGTGCAGGTGTTGCTGACCCTGGATGATGACCTCGACTGCGTCCAGCGTGACAAAATCTACGTCTTCTAGGCTCCTGGCCGCAGGCCCTGGCACATCCAGCACCTCCCGGGCAGGGCTCCCACCACAGCTGCAGTTGGCGGGGAGGCTGCAGCGGCGCCCTTGGCTCAGGGACTCTCTTCGGGGCGGCTCCGTGCTGCCCATCCCTGCTGTGTTGGAGAGCGCTCCCCTCGATCCTGCCCACAGCCTGGGCCAGCCCCGGGTGCAGCGGCGGGTGCAGGTGGGGCTGGGGCCAGAGGGGCTCTGCAGAGGCACCTGCCCCTTGCCCCTGGGGGTGGGTCGCACTGGAGCCGTGGGGCCCGTGGCATCACCCAGGAGGTGACCGGTTCTTGGCGCAGCAGCTGGCAGGCTCCAGCCGCACAGCCGGGCTCCGCAGCAGAAGCGGGAGCAGCATCTGCCAGTCTGCAGCGATGCCCTGGACTTGTCTGCACAGGAGGGAAACCCGCTGTGTCCTCTGCGGCTCCCCCTCCCCAAACTCGGGGTGCAGCCCCACCTCTGCACATGCGGGTCCTGCCTGCCGGCCCCCGTGCCCAGGCAGAGCTGAGCGGATGGCCTCAGGTCAGGCCGACAAGCCACAGAGACAGCACAAGGCCAGGCATGGCCCCCTCCCTCGTCTCCATTCACGGCACTCCACGGGCAGCGTCTGGCCCGACCCTGGTCTTCGCTCCCTGCCTCGTGGCTCTGGGGCTGGGCTGTCCGTGCTCCCGGACACGCGACTTGCCAAGGTGCTGCTGTCGTCCCCGCGGCAGCGTGGCCTCTCCCGATGGACACGTGCCACTCCGGGGCAGCCAGCCCATGTGCCAACAACATTCCTTTACCCCCTGCCCCCAGGTGCTGCCACAGCCCCTGTCCGGTTGAAGAAACACATGGTGCATGACTTTCAGTGCCTATCTCTGGGGTGGGTGTCCCGTCCTGTCTCCCCTGCCGCCCAGGACTGCATGGCGCCTTTGGCTCCTACTAATACGCGTGGGGTGAGGTGGGCGTCCGTACCTCTGCCCCTGCTGCCCCCCACCCACCCCAGGCGGGGGGCGTTTACATGGCAGGATCCGACCCGGTGCCTCGCTGCAGAGGGGGTTTTGTTGCAAGCTTCAAATTCAAATCCGATCCAGGGCTCCTCATGCCCGGCTCGGCGGTGCTGCCCGGGGGGGAGTCACGGCGAAGCCCCCTCCTCCATGCTGCCAGGGAGGTGCAGATGGGCACCTGGGGCCTCCCGACCCCAGACTGCACAGGCCAAGGCGTGCAGGGGCTCAGGACTTGTGCTCCCCGTGCCACCATCCCCGGACAACGCTGCCGTGGGTTTTCTGTGGACAGTTTGCTAGTGGAGGACAAGCATTAAACGCTGTGTTGATCTGCACTTTACCCACTTGTCTGCTGCCTTCTTGTTCCCCACGGGGGGGCTTGGGTGGCCAGGCCCCCTCCCCTTGTCCATGGCACCAGCCCCTCTGGGGTCTGTCGGGGCTCCAGGCCCTGGTTCAGCAGGGGCAGGGGCATCTCCCGCTCTCCAAGGAGCTCCTGCCCCAGCATTCAGAGGGCATCCGTCCGTTCCCCCCACATGCACAGCACCAGCCCTGGCACAGGCCACAGGGTGCCCCCAGGCTCAGCTCCCCCTTGCAAGAGCCTGCTCCGTTGCCTAACCTTGGGCCCTGCTCCCCTGACTGGAAGCCAAGAGCAGAGCCTGGCGTGACAGCTCCCTCGAGTCCGGGGCATGAGGCGCCTGCTGCCCGCCTGCCTCTGCACTGCTGCAGCCCCCACCCTCAGCCCAGGGCAGGGTGTGGGGCAGCAGCAAGGACCCCCATGATGCCTGCTGTATCCATGGCCAGAGCATGTCTGGGGGGACTGCCCACTGCAGCCAGGCCACTGCCCAGCACAGAGGTGCCTGTAGGGTCAAGGCCGCCCCAGCCACGCCCAAGCCCTGACGCCCAGAGCACAGGCAGGAGGGGGGAGCCGGCAGCCCCCGAGCACTAGCAGAGCAACCCCAGCCCTTTCCCCCTGCTCTAGGCTCCAGCAACGTACTCCTGCCCCCAGGCCCAGGAAGGTAAGAGGAGGGCACCTTATTATTAATTGCCCTCATCTCCCTCACACCTGCTCCCCGCCTCCACCCACCGGCTCCCATCACCAACATGCATCACTCACTGACCTCAATTAGCTCCAATTAGCTGCTCCCAGCAGCACCATGCCCAGCTCCAGGCACCCAAGTGCAGCCCTTATAAAAACCCACCCACGAGCCCTCAGCCTCCCCACAGCCATATAACTGATTTCTAATTTTAGACAAGGAAAGGCAGAGCATCATATCTCAGCTGGCAAGGGGAAGCTCTGGGCACCGATGCAGGGCACAGATGTGGATTCAGGGCACAGATGCAGGGCATGGAGGCAGATGCAGATGCAGGGCACGGATACAGATATAGATTCCAGATACATGAGCACAGGCTGCTGCTGTCTTGCCCAGGGGCACAGGTGGGGTCCTGGAGAACCCCAACATGCTCTGCAGACATATGCTCTCCCAGAGCAGCACAGGCCCTTGGAAAATGCCTGCAGCAGCTCTGCCCCGTGGCTTAGGAAGTGGGGCAGGATGTGGGCAGAGGTGCAGGGAGATGGCTGTTTGGGGCTGCCCCAATTGAAATGTGCCCAGGATAGTGGGGACCAGCCCTGCTCACGGGTCTAGCCCAATGCTTCTCAGTCTTCATATCTGGAGGGTTGGGGCACTCCAGATACTCACAGCCCCTTGGAAAATGCCAGCCCTTCCTTTTCATTAAAAAAAAAATTTTTTTTGACTACAGAAAAATAACAGAGCCATTTGCCTGTTGCAAAGAGTGCAGAGACCACAAGTCTGGATTTCTCTGAAATCTCTGGGTTCCTCTTGTAGATCATGTCTGCAAACCAAGCAGTGCTAACATGGTCTGGTGCCCGCGGCACCCCTGAAAGCTCTCAAGGGACCGCGGTGCTGCGGCACCCTGGGAGGAGCGTGGGGTGGGAGGCGCCGCATGAGGCCACGAGGAGCAGGGCAAGGGCTGGGCAGTGCATGCAGCAGCCTCTGCTCTGCTTGAAGTGGCAGTGGGCAGGGAGGGCTGTGGGCAGGAGAGGAGGGCGGTTGGCTCTCTGCGGGGGAGCCCAGGGACGCGGCTGCCCTGCTCTGCACAAGCTCATGCCACGTGCAAGGGAGGGGACTTCGCTGGGCTCTGCTCTGTGCCCGGCCCATGGAGCCCAAGCCCTGCGGTGGGGGCCAGGATGGGGCTAGCCTGTGTGCAGAATATGCCATGTACACTTGTGCCCCATGGTAGGACTGCTCACGTTGGGGGTGTATTTTATTTAGCTGTGAGCTTTGAATCTCAGCATCCGAGAGCCGTGGGGCTGGCAAGGTCACATCCATCCCAAGCCCTGCCCGTGGTAGGATCAGCCCTCTCTGAACCAGCCCAGGCAAACCCACTGTCCGACCTCGTAGCAAAAGAAGTTACCCCCGACACAGCACAGACATTGCACCCAAGCCTGGCACAGGGAAAGCAGGGGGACCGTGGTGCCCAACATCCTGCGGCTGGCAAAGGTTGTTAAAATACACTTGAGAGATGCTGGGTAGAGGCTGTGCCGCCTGCTACAGGGGAAGGCAAAATCCCCCTGTCTGAAGCAATCTGGCCAGGGTCAAATCCCTTCCTGACCCCAAATGTGGCATCGGGCTGACCTGAGCAGAGGGGCAAGCCCCTCTAGGCAGGAACGTGCTGGATTCAGTCTGGGCAGAAACACTGGTGAGGCCAGGTCAAAATCCCTGCCCTGGCTGCACCCACCCCGGGTGCGTCTGAGGAAGGTGAAAACACCCCCGACACGTAGCAGCAGGAGAGGGAAACAATCCCTTCCCAGCCCCACGTGGCAACCAGCAAAGCCTAGAAAATCCCCTGCGCTGTGTCACCTGCAGCCTTGCTCCAGGGCTTTCCAAATCCTTCATAAACACCGTGAGCAGCGCCGGGCTCGGGACTGACCCTCTGGGACGCCACTCAAAGCCTTTTGCTATTCCCACGTGGATCCTTTTCTCCTTGAACTGCCCTTTGCTTGCAGTTCTCCAGCCAGTTGTTTGTCCACCTTACAACTGGGTACCTTTGCCCAGCCCACATTTCTCCCTCTGCTTTTGAAAAGGTCACTTGGGGCTCTGTCCAAAGCCTCGCTGAAGTCCAGATCCACGATTTCCACAGCCTTCCCTCCGCCCGCCCAAGCCGTTACTCCGTCCAGCCTGTTTGGCACTGTTTGCTGTGGGTAAATCCAGGCTGGCTGCTCGCAATGGTCTTTTGTTACCTGGATTACGGGGGACTTGCAGCTTGGCTACTGATAAACAAGGCAGCAAACAGGTCTAGAGCCCGGCCTTCTGCTGCCTGCACCTCCAAACACAAACACAAGCGGTCGTCCCAAAGTCCATCGGCCACGCGTGACAGCACAGCACGGGCAACACGGACCTGTACCGCTGGGGAGACTCTGGAGGGGGGAAGCCGGCATGCAGGCTGGCAGCGCGCCTTCTCCAAGTTTCCCTCCAGCCCACACCCCTCATTTACAGAAGGGCCCCCCACTGCCGAAAGGATGTGGACAAGTTGGAGAGAGTCCAGCGGAGGGCAATGAAAATGGTTGTGGGGCTGGGGGACAGGACTGGTGAGGAGAGGCTGAGGGAACCGGGCTGATTTAGTCTGGAGAAGGGAAGACCGAGGGGGATTGAACAGCCGCCTTCACCTCCCTGCGGGGGGACTGCAAAGAGGATGGAGCTGGGCTGGTCTCATTGGGGCAGACGACAGGACAAGGAGCAATGGGCTCAAGCTGCAGCAAGGGAAGTTGAGGTTGGATGTTAGGTAAAACTTTCTCATGAGGATGGCAGTGAAGCACTGGACCAGGCTCCCCAGAGAGGTGGGGAAGTCTCCATCCTCGGAGGTGCTGAAGACCTGGGTAGACAAAGCCCTGGCTGGGAGGATGTAGTTGGGGCTGGTCCTGCTCTGAGCAGGGGGTTGGACTAGATGTGACCTCCTGAGGTCCCTTCGACCCTGATTTTCTGTGATCCTAGTCTAAATATTCTAATAAATGTTCTCCAATTGGTTTAATTAAATCTTTGTTTCACTGAAACTCTGGGGATTGGACTAAGCCAGATCTCTTGTGGACGTGGAAGGTGTTAATTAGTTGGAACTTATGTCCTTGCGAAAGTAAAAAGGAGGCTTTCTTGTCTCCTTTCCTTTGCAGTGCAGTTCAGCACTGGCCTGTCTCTTCTTTACCTTCATTTGGGGCCTTCTCCAACAGAGCCGATCTGTTTTTACAACTCATCCAAGAATCTATTATAGCAAAACAGCATCTAATACAGTTAGTTACCTCAATCCCTGCTACTCGTATCTTGAGACAAAGCTATGCTGTGCTACATGTGGATTATTTAATACGTGGTCATCCTGCATAATGTCTCCTTTCATTGGCTCTGTCTACTCGTATCCCATGACCGGTTTAGCTGGACACGCTGGCGCTCCCTTTGCTTTGCTGCCCAGGCTGGTTCTCACGTCGGCAAAGGGTCTCTCTACAGTCACTCGGGAACAGGCTTGGGGGCCTTCTGCTCAGCTGCGTGGTGCAGCCTGGCCTCGGCCCCTCAAACGGCCAGGCTGGCGGCACCCTCCTCCTCCTCCAGCTGCTTGCAAAGGGATTTCTTCAGAGCAGGCTCCAGTCGCTCCCTGGGTGTCAGCTCCCCGGATCCTCCTTTTTGCATCACGCTTCTGCCCAGCTGGAACTGCCTTCAGGATTGGGGGGAGGGGTCTCTTGGCCTGCAGCAGCCAGCCCACCCCTCCCATCACAGCTCTACCCCACATCCCCCAGCCGAGGGGTTTGACCCCGGTGCCTGGGCAGTCCCTGAAATGCTCCCCAGCCCATTCAGCTCCGAGGAGCCGGGTGCCAGGGGGTGGGTATGGGGTGCACGGTGCGGCCGTTCCCCAGGGCTCCAGGCACTGGGCTGTGCCGGGGGCAGGCGCTCGCCACTGGGTGTCAGCCTCACTCCACGTGCATGCTCTGGCCTTCCTTCTGCATCTCTCCAGCCTCCCGTCGGGAGCCCCCACACGGCCCCAGCACCCCATTTACTGCTTACAGGCAGAATCGGGCCTGTGCTGCACATGGCGCAGGAGGGATGGGGCAGACAGCAGCCCGGACCTGGCACGTCCATCGGCATGGGGCAGCTGGCGTGGTCAGGAGGGCGTCCTCACCCTAGGGCCAAGCCCAGCCTCTGCCCACCGGCGGGGGGAGGCAGCCTCCAAGCCCGTGAGCACAGGGTGGGGGGGACTGAGGTGTGGGGCCTGCGCCCCATGTGCTCTGCCGGCTTGGCCCCCGGCATCCCAGCACAGCAGCCCGAAGGGGGGCGTTCACCA